GCAGGAATTGCAAACATCCAGGGAGCTGACTGTCCCAAACCATATGGCCTTGGCTCTCCTGTGCCCAAACCTAAACCCACACACCTGCTGCCTTCCCAAAACAACACAGCTCCCTGCCCCTTTTGTCCCAGTCCCTATAAAATAGGCATTTCTCTTGTTCAAAACCCTGTTACACACACACACCTCAGGGCTATGCCACGACAAGAAGCCCTGCACATCCCACAGGGAATCACCAGGCAGCAACATCCCTGATTTGGAGGTCACTGGCTGCCCTGGCCCTCGTGTCCTCCACCCTCCTCCCACCTCAGCCCCAAGAGCTCCCTGCCCACACCTACCCACTTGATCCAGCTTTCAGTCTCCTCCTCCGAGAGCCTGGAGATGGTGCGAGGCAGGTACCTGAGCAAGCTCTCCTTGACACACGAAGAGGCCAGGGTGCCTTCTGCCTCCACCAGGCTGGCAATAACATCAGCAATCCGGCCAGAACCTTCCACCACAACACAGGGAATCTTACTCTTAATAGCCACGTTGATAGACTAAGGGAGCCAAAGAGGGAGAGGTGATCACTTAAAGGATGACTGGGTTCTTAGTGCAGTAAGAACACCTGAAGATTTGAGGTTGGACTTAGTCCTACCCACTGATTCCTCACCAAGCAGCCTCCACCTCCTGGCAGAGCTGTGAGGAGCCCCACAGAAGCTGAGGGGCAGGAACCACCAGCCTCCCAGTTTGAGAGTGGGTTAGAAAAACAAACAAACAAAATCAACCTGGAGTCCAAGCTGTGAGCATGTTGCTGCTGTGAACTGCACTGTGGGTCCCTGATAAAAGCCAGATGCTTCTTCTTACCAACTGGATCCAAGTAGCTTTCCTAAGGGTCCTGCTAAAGTGCATGTTTGACACCACAGGCAGTTTAAAACAGAACTTGGCAGGAGTTTGACTTCTCCTCTGCTAGAGCTGGTTCCTGTCATGAGGCACCAGTCAGAAGAGAAAGAGGGAGTCTTTCCTAAGGTCAAGGCATGGGAAGGACAGACATCCAGAGCACAGAACCTGTTGTGTCACTTTGGGCTGATCAGAGCCTCTGTTCACTCCTTGAGTAGATGGTTTCACCTACACCAGCCAGCAACTTCACCTGCAAACAACAGCCAAGGGACTGGCAGGAACCCTTGCTGAACCATCATCCAGTTGCCTTCCAGTGGAGCCTCTTGCCAGGAATGATGCATCTGATTCAACATGGCTTGTATTATTCTCATCAGACAGCCAGGAAGTCTTGTGCTGTGTATCATTTCCTAACAGGGGGGTTGAGTTCTCTCCATAACACACGTGTAACCACAAGGCTGCCCAAGGAACTGCACTGCAGGGCACGTGGGAGCAGCTCCCTCAGCAAAGGCCAAATCCTCTCTTAAAAGCTGGCAATTTGGATCTCAAAGGAGATGGGCACATCCAGTGTGTCATCTTCAGCAAAGCTTTGCTCTGAAACCCCAAGGGATGTTTTCATTTCACCTGAGCAGCTCTGATGAACACATTGAGCTCTGCATTCATCTACAACCTCCCTGTGAGCAAAGCTGTAATTCATCATGTGAATGGAACCAACACGCCCCAGAAACATACAGGGAGGCTGGGATAATGATCTGAGATATCACAGGGTGGTTCAGGCTGCCTGATTCATGTTAGCAATGAAGTGCTAACAGGGACCATTCACATTATTTCTCATCCTGATCAGCAAGACAGCTTGATTAGCCTCAATATTAACAGCAAAGCTCTGGTCAGAATGGGTGGTAAAGATCACCTCTGCAAAATAACTAATTATAAATAGCACCCTTCAATTTACTGACTCAAACACTGACCTACACCTGTCACTGTATCCTACCCTCTTGCAAACCCCAGCCCTTTTCCCAGCTCTTCCTCAAGGTCCTTCAGCCCAGACCATGGCAGCTGCCCTTCTGGCTGCTATTCAGAGTCATCTCATCCTCACCCACTGTTGCTGGTCCCTTCCCACACAGCCTGATCTCACACCCCCTGCTCCCAGGTCCCTCATTGTCACTCTTGCAAGGTGGAGGGGAAAGTCAAAACACCCTGTTATTTAACACTGAGACAGATTCAGACCTCAGCTCTGTTTCCCCTTCCCCAAGTGTCACTTAGACATTCTTATTCACACTTCTTTCTGCCTTCTCCATTCTGTTCATCCTCTTCCTACCTGTTATCTACTTGAAGCCTGTTCCCTCCCCTTCTAGGCTGGTCAGAGCCAGCAGAGCCCTCCCCTGCCTTACTCAGTTGCCCAGATTTAAACTGGGTGCAGCCCAGAGTTCTCAGGAGGTTCAAAGAGGCTCTGAGCTGGAGTATCTCCAGCACAAGGTGATGTCCCTTGTATATCACAAGAAAGTACCCATCTCCACTGAGCAAGCCAAGATTTCTCAAAGCAAAGTTTAGGCAAACTTGTATAAAAAGGATCAAGAGCTGCATGGCTGACAAAGGCTCTTCTGATTGCTGCTGAGCAGACAAAACCACATTTTGGTGCTGGATTTGTTGTGGAAGAACTGGAACAACTGCTGGTTTTCCAGGATGTCAGCCTGAGGCAGCAATTCTGCACAGAACATTTTGACAGAAACAAACTCCCTAAGTTGAAATGCAATTGCAAGGAAGTGCTGGGCAAGCCTCAGTAAAAAAAGGAGTCAACTTAAATTTAAAAAAAAGTGTCAACTTCACCATGTTGCTTGTGGAGCAACCTGTCTTCAATATGAGAGCCATGTCCCTACTGTTGCTCCTGAAGAGAAGTAAAAGGAATAAAATTACCTTCAAAATCTCTTTCCAAAAAAAACCACCTTGAGCAAAACACACAATTGGAATCTTCCCACCATAGTTAGATTCTGTGGAATATGCCAAAAGGTAAAAAAAGCAAAAGATTCAATCCATTAATGCTGTTTAAACAACTTCCTCTTCCTGAGTACAATGAAAGACTTGCCAAGTAGCTCATGCAGACATTCCAATATCAGTTTACTGTTGATTTTGCCCAATTTTGCCCAATCTGTTAACAGCTTTCCCTGTTTTTAATACTCAGTTTTGCCTGACATTCTGCATCCCTGGCTGCAGACACCCTTTCTCCACCAGATGCTTTCTTTCCTTCTCACCATCATAACTTTTACTGGCTCCAAAGTCCCTAAAACACGTGATTTTATGCCATTTAGCCAATACTTTGACCACCTTGAGTCTAGGTGTGAGGTTCTTATCACAAGCTGAAGATTCAGAGCCTTTGACTTCACATTTTGAATCCCCTAGATCCAGGAGCTGGTGTTGAAGAGACATACCAAGCTCATTACAATTCTGGGTTGTCACCATGAGGCACAAACAGCAAATTCACTTCAGCTGAGGTTACACCACAAAAAAAAAACCACCCCAAACTCTTGAAATAAGAGCTTCCTGAAAAGGCTTTTGATTATTTTATTTTTTTTTGCTTTTTGGCAAAGGAGGAGCTGAAAGAGGAATTATTTAGGAGCAGGCAGGATCAATCACCTGCACAAATCAGGATTTTGGGAAAAGCCTGATTTCAACCCCTGTGTAGCTTGTGCTTCAGCTACCTGGAATTCAGTGCCAGGAGGGAACCACACAGCAGGCTCAGCTTCCAGCACAGAGCCCAGCAGGAAGAGAGAAAAGGCTGTGTGGCCAAAACCCACCCCTTGCTGTGTCCCACAAAGGGCTATTGTCACACACAGAGAGATGAGGGGAGGATTCTTGCTCTGAAGAAGCCTGGTTGCTCATGGAAGCCTTGAGATGCAACGCAGCCAACACACCCTTCCAGCTCAGCACCCAGGGGATGCCACCTCTGCTCTCTTGCTCTCAAACTCCCTGTGCATCACCCCAAAGCACAGGAGGACTGAGGGGGAAGCCTGCAGCCTGGCACCCACACCTACCTGGGATAACTCGCTCTGAAATGTACTTTTCTAACTGAGTTCGTACTTTTGCCTCGATCGTGGGCTGTCCATGGGTGCCATTATCAACCAGCAAGAGATGGGTGTGGTTGTTATCCAGGCAATAGAGGGGGTCTCTCTTGAGGTCATCCATGATGTAGTGGGCCAAGTAGTACCCCTAGAAGCACAAGCACAGCTTTGAGCAGAGATCCAAGGGCAGAATATGCACAAGGCAGTGACAGCTGAGCCCCTAATCACCAGCCTCATGGGTCAGGAGTCTGAATTACCTGCCTTGAGAGGCTGCTCTCTGCTGGGTGGTCCCAAGAGCAGCAGCAGACAGGGAGAGAAACCCTGCGTGAGCACACAGCATAAATGTTTGCAAGACTGTTCTTTACAAGAGCAATCTGATTGGTGATGGTTGTCTCAAAATCACCTCAGCCAATAGCACAGTGCAAGTTACCTGCAGCAGTTTAGTCCTTTCAGAGATCCTGTTGAGCAGTGAATGCTTCCTTCAGCCACCAGAAACATTAAGTCTGGGGCAAACTTACTTCTTTCAACACCTCACAGCACTGGAGAATCTTTTAGGTTGGAAGGGGCCTCCTGAGATCTTCTAGTTCAACACTCAAACCTCCTTAGAGCCCTCAGTAAACCAAACTGCTTTTATTTATCTAACAGGATGGTTTTTTAGCCATGTTCTGTAACATCTACTGGACAGAAGTCCAGGGTATCTAAGAGGTAGGACAGTAGTATTGATGAGCAAGATCCAGAACAGCAGCAGCAAGTACAACATGGCTCAGCTAATGGGAATCCCCACTATGGGCTGCTGTGGAGGGATTTCACAGCAGCAGGCAGAGCCACGGAAGAGGTTATTCCCTAGTGCTCTGCCAGATATGAGGTTAGAGCAGCTGAACTTCCACGCAGACACACTAAGCCCACAGCTGAAATCCTCCCCACCAGCTCTGATGTGTGCAACCACCTTGAACCTGAGAACACTTCAGCTTTCTCCTGTCCTGGCAAGAGCACCTGATGTTCCACCTCACTGCTGTGCATGTTGTTTGGGACACAGCAGGTCAGGCTCAGCACAGACTCTTCTACATAAACGCTGCCCCAAGAAGGATTCTGCTTCACCAGAAGGTATGAGAAGAGCTTGACTGACCACTCCAGCTGGTCACCTGGTGGCCCTGAGCACCAGCCCAGCAGGGCAGTGGTCAGCCAGGGACACAACCCAAGCCATTCCCACCGATCCCCCCCCTTCTTTGCTCCCCCCACCCAACCACACGCGCGTTCCTTACGTCGTTGTCGGCGCCGCGGACCAGGGGCTCCCGGTTGGAGATCATGCCCCAGGCTGCGATGCCAATGGCCACCACGTTCTCCTCCGAGCTGCGGCTGATGGTGTTGTCCCTGACCACCTCCCCAATGTACTTCATCAGCCCGCAGTGTGTGCCCCCGGTGAAAATCCAGGCCCCTGGGGACAACAGGACCGGGGAGAATGCAGCGCGATACCCACCCCTAACGCATCACCCGTCAGGCAGCACAACCCACCCCATCTCAAGGCTTTAAGAGCCACTTATTCTTCACTCAGCAGGAGACCTGCTACACACCCTGCCTGACATCCTCCTGATGCCCAAGCACCCTGCTTCCCTGCCAGGCCTCTGAGCTGCTCCAGCAGGAGGCACAAGACCCGCGGGCAGGTCCTTTACCTTTGGACTGGGCAATGTAGATCAGCCTGCTGAAGATCTTGCGCATGCGGGGCTTGAGGGCAAAGTTCTTGGCGCCCCCGGTGACAGAGATGACCAGGTTGGGGGTCTTCAGGTGCCAGTGTTGGGTCATCAGGTCGTAGAGAGTTTCTGAGTCCGTGTCGCACGACAGGCGGAGGTACTTGGGTGAGGGGAAAACAAGAGGAGAAGCAGAGAAAGAGGGTAACAGTGAGAGCTGGGAACAGACCAGGAGTCCCCTTTTCCTCCCTCAGTTACACTCCCACTCCAAGTAGGAGTGAAAGTGATGATGGAGTCTTGTTTTCTTCCCCTAAAGCATCTCTAACCCTCCTCCTACCACCTTCCCCTGGAGGAAGGCAAGAGCCCTGACCTTGGGATCCACAGGAATGCTGGAAGGATGAACACACCACCAAGGAAGTTCAGAGCATCACCATTTTAGCTGTAACAAATGGTATCACCAGCTGAGATTGTGGATGAGTGGTAGCACTGTGGTAAGGGAACTAGGAATGATAGCTCTATTTTGACCACACTATTCAAGCCTTAATTCAATGAACTAGGAACTCCAGGCTCCATGGGTGTGGTGTCCCTGTCACAGCATTTTAAGTGTAACACAAAGCAGCTGCACCCAGGGTGTCTGAAAGCCTGGACACTGATGAGGACACCACACAGAACTCTAGATGAACTGGCTTCAGACAGACCTGCTGTGTCTGGGCTTATGTACAAGGCTGGGCTGTTCAGGAGCCCCTTCACAATCTCATCCCTCTTAGTAGCTTAGCATGATGGACTCTTGGAAGACAGTCATAGATATCCCATCCATACCAGAGACCTGAATCCTCCTGGATTTGGTACAGAACACTCAGTATTTGCAGGAGAGCACCAGCAAGGGATTAGTTTCAGGAAGAAACTTCCTCCACTTAAAGTAAAAAAAGAACTCCTCATCTGTTTCCAGGTTCCCAGGAAAGATGACTGCAACTGGCTGAGAACAGCACATCCCAGGGAAAGCCACAGGCTCCAACACCTGCACAGGGGAGCTAAGGCACCTCCACAGCTTCTGCCCTCAGGAGCATCACCCACACCAAGCCGTGGGTGTTTTCCAGGAGAGGGGACCCTGCCAGAAGCATTCACTGCTCCACAGAGCTGGCAAACCCATCCCCCCTGCCAGCCTGGTTAGCTCTGGAGCCAGAAGGCACTTCTCCTAAACCCACCTGCTGGGTATGACCTTTGGTCCATCAGCAGCTGATGTTTCCAGCCGAATGATTTGGGTCCATCTATACACACTCGGGTGGGTTGAACCCCTGGGGTCACCCCTTTCTTCCCCTGCACAGCTGTGGCTGAGCACCCCAGCAGCCACCCCCAGCCCTCTGGGTGTGCTCCAGCAGCTGAACCCAAAAGGGAGGCCAGAGGAGCACTTTTTCCAGCTTGAGGGCCACCAGAACATAAGCTACAGCAACTGCAGGGTCCTCCAGTGTTACAGGAGCTGAGCAGCAGTGCAGGAACAAAACAGTGTGCAGAGATTTGATTGGGCTGTTCACATCTTTCTGTTTGGAATATTTAAGCTTTGAGAACTCAGAAATATTGCAATAGAAGAAACCTTTTATTTCAGTAAAGGCAAACAGCAGCTTATGAGGCTGAAATTTGCATATCAATAAATATGTTAAGCACTTGGATGTGTTTAGACACTGTTCAAAACCTTCAGTTTTATTTCCCATTGAAACACCTCATTTCTGTTACTTTGCATAAGACAAACCCAATTAATTTTCACACTCTGCTCTGATTTTCCTCATTTATTTTGATTGCCTCATTGCACTGGTGGTAAATACCAGCCATTTAGAAGAGGCAGATGAGCTCAGCCACATGTGACTCCTCACACAGTATAAATCATCAGAAACAGCAACACCAGCTCTTCTCTTCATTCCAGCCCCCCAGTGTCCACACACACCAAAGAAAAACATGGGGGAAAAGCCCAAACAGTATAAAACCTCTGAAGTTCTCCTGATGGGTTACATCCCCATGGAATTGACCATCATTGTAGGTTCTCCACCCTGGGAAATACTCAGTACTCTTTGGTTATGGGCCTGAGCAACCTGGTCAGTGTGGATATGCTTTGAGCAAGGAGTTTTGGTGAGACAAGCCCAGAGAGCCCTTCCAAATAAAATTACTCCATGTGGGTGTGGGAAACACATCCCCTCCTTTCAGCATCTCACAACATCCTTCAGAGCATCCAGCCTAAGATACAGCTGTGTGGAAAGGACCACTCTACATCCACACACTGCCATGTTCTGCCCATGGAACAGCAAGGGAGGAAGGGAATGCAGACCTGCAGGCAGGTGTTGGATGATGTGCCCTGCAAGGTTAAAGCCACTACAATGCATGAGGGGTGATGTTATGGACATAAATACATATGTGCAGCTTCTGCACCCAAGAGTACAGAACCTCCTGAGAAAGGTCTTACATCCCTACAGACATGAAATCCCTGTGGTTATCACCTCATGGATCCTGCTGCACCTTCAAAAGCAAAGCACATCCTCCAGGCCCACGAGTTGCACTGGTGTGCACTCTCACATCATTTTCTTTCTAAAGCAGAAGTTGGTCCACAATGGAAAGGTGCAATGATCCAAAAAGCAGCCTTCTCTTGGTGTCAAAGTCAGACAGTCAGGAGCTTGATCATCCAGGCAATTAAGCTTATCATGTTGGGTTCACCACTACAGATGGGTAAAAGGGTACTAAGCTGCTCCTCAACACCACGACATCTCTGTGTAGACTGGGACCACCAAATGGCCTCTCTAACTGCCCATTGACACAGTCAGGGCACAGAGCCCCAGTGAGAGACATCACAGAGATACTTCAAAATTATCTCCTCCTGGCCCAAGACCTTCAGTGTTTTGTTACAGATCAATTACAGGAAAACTAGCTGCATGACAAAAAGGAAATATAATACTTGAGCATCACCCTCATTCACCCCTTCTTCTGCCATGCCTGGGAACAGATAACCCTTTGCACTCCCACCGTCAGCCTATGAAACAAACAACACAAGATATTCTTCTTTGTTACCTGTTTTCAGGGCTTGAGAAAACAGCTTCTCTGAACTCCTTCCATTCCCACCAGAATAAAATCAAATTTAGCTCCCCCTTCCCTGCTTTTCAGGGGCTTCCACTGGTACTGGGTTCAGGACTCCAGATGCAGAGCACACAACAGGGATCTGATGTCTACCCTCAACAACCACTTACCTTTCCTCTTTTTCCCAAGTTTTCAAACTGGATGTCCCCAAAGGCATCAGTAGGGAGCTCCTTTGTGTGCTTCTTGTAGTTCCACTTTTCACTCGTATTAATCTGAGTGCCCTCAATGTGTTGATTTTCAGGGTATCCACATTTGCATAAATTACCCCTGAAAGCAGAATAAATAGACATGAAGCCCCACACTGAGCACTGAAAAGTAACCTGTGTTATTATTAACAGGAGAGAGAAATTCTTTCACAGCACCAGGTCTGGGAGCCCCACCAGGCAAAGCAGCAGGTGGAGCTACAGAACCAGCTGCATTTGGTACCTGAACATATTAACAGCTAAGAGGAATGGCCTCAGCTGAGACCAGCACTTGATCAGGCTTCCTTCTCCTGTCATCTGCTTCTGTCTGGCACTGGGTAACAGACTGGAGTCCATCTCAGGAACCAGCCTGTGCCCAGGTGAGCTGGCACTTCTGGATGGGCCTCACCTGCCTGACCCCTTATCACACACCAAGGTGCTTCACCAGCAGCTTCATTCTAAACCCTACAACTGTGCACAGAAACAAGGAGCCAGAACTCAGCACCAGACACTCCCAGAAGTGCCTCCATCCACTGCTAACCTGGTGTGCACAAGTGGCTTCCTCCCTTGTCTGGTTTCTCAGGAGGTTTTGCAGCCAGTTTTCTGCCCACCACAGTGTGCAGGACCAGTTGGGAAAAGCAGGAGAACTCAGGCCAAAGGATGAGGACACTAATTACTGCACTTGCAGTGACCTCTGTAGTGACCTTGTCGTTTGCAGAGGTGAGATGAGGGCACATCCTCCTGTGAAGGCTGCAGTGAAGGTGGGTCACAGCCCTCCCCTCTGAAGGAGAGAGGACTGACATGGGTCCTCCTGCTCTGCTGCAGCTTGCAAATAAAGTCAGCTTACCTTAAAAATAGGTAAGACCAAAAAAAAGAAGCCAGCAAGTTATCAGGTATGACTTGCATTCCTCTCCCAGTGGGCTTGGAGGAAGAGAAGCTGCTAAGAACCAGCTCCCCTTGCCAGACACCCCATTTTAGATGGCAGAAGAGGACCCTCAGTAAGCCTTTCTGAAACAAGACTAATTTCCTTCCCCCTCTCACTCCAAGGCAATTCTACCCCAGGCTTCAGAGGAGAATGGAGCTCCTGAGAGCCCTCAGAGCTTAGAACTTCTGCAGCTACATGACTTTGATCACCTTTCTCCCAAGATTACAAAGAAAACTCAAAAAAACCCCAAAAGCAACATTATGGTCCTCAAACGTAGATTGCATAAGAGCTTTGTGCCCAAATACAGAGCAAGTATAATATCCTTCTTAAGGAAACACCAGCCTGGTGGCTGCATCTCTCTGCTGGAAAGACCTGTGGCTTGTGATTTGGGTTCAAAAGGAAAACTGAGATTATGCAAAGCTCTGTTACATACATATATTGTTCTACACCAATACCAGTGCTGGTACTGCACCCCTGAAAGCACCTACATGTTGCCACAATTATGCCTCAGAGGGGGAGTCTGATATTACAGCCCTTCAGCAGAACTGCTGGAAGGCATCCTGAGAGTTAGCATGAAGGTCAGGCCCCTAGTTTTGCACCAAGTTAGTTGTGGAGGAACTCAAACTGATGTATTTCCAGTTTTTACATCAACTCCTGACAGTCTAGAGTGGTCTTCCAAGTGGGGAGTGCACCACACTTTAAGAAAATTAACAATACTTATTTCATCTCTATCTCATAATCAAGTGATTTAAAAAATGTCTTACAATGTGCATAATATTAGTGCTGCAGTAGATGTTCATGCTTGGTAAATAAACAGATATTTGGGGGCATGCTCAAGGTTGTTTTACTGATTGGGTGTGCAATCAAAATAGTTTGGAGATGACTGGTGTAGAGCTGGGGGAAGCACTCCAGGGTACCTGCCCATCAGGCTTGCAGCTGATTTGACCATGACTGCAGCAAATCCAGTGACAAGACAAGTGGGACCCAGGTGAGGCTGCACTGCTTGAATCAGACCCAAAAAATTTGCTCCCCTGCCACAAGGGAGAAACACCCTCAGCTCCCAGCCCCCCTGTAAAACAAGAGGAAAACATCTGCTTACACTGACTTGGTGTCTTTTGTGAAAAAGACACATTCTCTCTTCTTGAAGTTTTCTTGGATGAAGTTGACCAAGTCCTTGAAAAGGAAAAAAAAAAACAACACTTCAAATACCTCAGAAAACAGGAGAAACTGCAGAAACAGCACAGACAGTTTAAAGACAAAGCAAAAATGCTGCTATAATAATAAATAAGTGTCTCCTTTCTCAAAGAGGATGGTAGGAGGCAACTAGAAGGCACTGGTGAGAGTCAACAGAACACAAAAGACCACTAAAAAAACCACCAATAGGCATTCCAAAAAACATGTGAGGTCAGTATTCTTATAGAACAATACATACCAAGGAGGCAAAAGGTGTGGTTTCCCCTTCAAAACAGCATAGCAGGTTTGATATCTTAAGAGCTGCTGGACAGCCTATTTTAATTGCAGCTTATCATCCCCAAGACACAGAGATAACACCTTACCTGGCTTCAATGGCTCAACAGGCTGGCTGTGCCCTATGCAGCATCATATGTGCATGCACTGCTTTGTTTCCAAAGAACTTGCAGCACTGACAATGTTTTTAAAAGAGTGGTTAATTCCGGTCTAAAAACTGCTTAAAAGGCTATGGCAAACATTGTCTTCCCAAAGACAAAAACCAAACCAAACCCAAAAGCCCTCTTGGGCAGGGGCTATTTTAATTCAGCACAAGAGCCCAGCAGGAGTCCTGAACAACTGGAGCCTTGGTTTACCTGAGCTCCAGTTTGTTTAACCATCAACTCTCACATTAACCTGGTAACCCTGCAGCTTTCAAACCTGGAAGATGCAAATTCTCTCCTGATGTGCCACTTCAAGCTAGGAAACTTAACTCCCACTTGGTGACAAAGGTTTGGGGGTTCTGTTTTTAAGCACAGGGTGGATTTGCATTCCCAGGTTTACCTTGGGAGGAGCAGGGAAGACATTCAGCTACAGTTAAGCTACCCATTTGGACAGAACACTTGTAGCTAAAACAGCAGTAAGAGGAAGTTATTCCAAGTGGAAAAGCATCCTTTGAAAAGGACTGTAACATGCAAAACAAAGACAATGGAAGTGAACATAATTAGCCAGTAAAAGCCACGATGATGAGAGACCAAAAAAATAACAGGGAGTGACTGAGAATGTACAACCCAGGGGCACAGGAATCAAGAGGAATGGAATCCATCCTCAGGCAGCCACCAGCTCAACAAGGCTGAAGGGAGCACTGGCAGGGAATCTTCTCCAGGAAGGGAAAACTGCCAAATCCATCTTCCTTCTCCTGACATGCACGAGCCCTGGGCTCAGCCAGGCTGTGCCAGGTACTCACGCCGTCGCTGCAGGACACGTCGATGCTGCGAGACATGCTGGAATAGAGGAGCCTGGAGTTCTCAAAGTTCCCATTCCTTCGGTGCCGCATGGTGCCCATAGAGGCCTGGGAGAGCACAGTGGAGGGGGAGATGGAGGAGTCTTAGAAATGAAGTGTTGGTTTTGCATTCTAGTGTTAGAAACATAGTGTCGGGTTTGGTATATATATATATATATATGTATATACACATATACATACATATACACATACATATATATATATATATACATACATATATATATATCCTAGTGGTTTAAATATATAGTTTGAGATAAGTGAGATCTCTGACACCAGCAGTGGTTTAAATACATAGTTTGTTTGATATAAGTGAGGTATCTGCACATTCCAAGGACACCAGGAGGGGTTTGTGGCCCAAGAACCTGAGGGAGTGAATTGGGCTCCACCTGGGGATCCCAACATGGAGCAGGATTGATGGCCCAAGGTCAGACCCAACAAAGCCCCTTCTGTCCTGCTGCTCAGGGCAGGGTGACGCCAGCAGGTTTGTGAATTGGGAAGGCAGCCAAGGGGGCAAGAAAGGCCAGAATTTTACCTGAGAAGGTAAAAAGTGACCTGCTAGGATGGGATGTGTGAACAGGGGTGGGAAACTTACAGGATCATGGGAAGCGTCGGATGGGCTGGAAACCCTGGAGTGCCCAGGGAGTGGGGAACCAGGGGAGGGAACTTTGGGAATAGGGAATAGAAACTGTTATTCACCTGCCTATGGGTGTGCCTGCTTGTTTAGGTCACCCATTCCTGCAAGAATGTAAATAAACTGCTTTGCTGCAGGGTCTGGGTGGGCCTGTGCATTGGCACCACAAAGGTTTCTCACAGGAGCAACAGTCCAGACAAAGCCAGCAAGGGCACTCAGAGCCCCTGGAACTCAAGGGAGAGGTTATTCCAATCCAGCATAAAGGATTAGGAGGTGTATGGATTCATAAAGTGAAAATTCAGAAAGTAATATTGCCTCTTTATTTCATACCACAAAGAGATCTTCCTCTTTCTTTCCCCACTCCAAAAAGAACTCCAAGTCAACAAGGTTTGAGGAAGGAACATACCTTATAGCCACCCTGTGCAATTCATGACCCTGTCTTAACTCTTTCC